GGGGGGCGGAGGGAGGGGCAGCGGCCCGAGCCCCGCCCCTCCCCCGCGCTCCCGCCCCGCCCCCCCCGCGTGGTGCGGGGGGAGGGGCGTGGAGTGGCTGCGCGCACGCGCGGGGGGCGGGGCCTCGCGGCGCTGGGGGAGGGGCAGGCGCGACACCGCCTCGGGGGGCGGGGCTAGTGGAGGGGGGCGGGGCGGAAGCAGGTTGGGGAAGGGCGGGGGGATGGGGGCGGGGCCAGAGAAGGGGGCGTGGCCGATAAAAGGGGTGCGGCCCGTGTGGGGGGCGTGACCGGAGAAGGGGGCGTGTCCCGCATAGGGAGAGTGTCCGTAGTGCGAGAAAGGGGCGTGGCCACCATGTGAGGGGGCGTGGCCGCGGAAGGGGGTGTGTCCGGTGAAAGGGGTGTGTCCAAAGCCCGGCCCCTCCCCCGCGGGCAGGGGGCAACTCATCTCCTCGTAAATGGCCTCGGGCTCCTCCGGGGGAGGGGGGGGCGCTCCCCCCGGCCCCCCCCGCCGGGGGTCCCCCCCGATCCCCCCCCGCGCGTCCCCCACCATCTCGATGTACACAGGCTCCTCCCCCTCCTCCCCCTCCCCCGCCGAGGGGGGGGGGCGGCGGGGGGGCCCCTCCTGACAGACGGGTCTGGGGGCTCCGCGAGGGCTTCAGGGGGGGGGTCTGGCGCACGCAGCCCCCCCGGGGGGTGCCTGGGGAGGGGAGGGGAATGTCAGTGAGAGTGGAACACCCCCCTTTTCCCCCAACCCCCAGGAACCGACTCCCTGCACCCCAAACCTCCCAAACCCCCTCCCTACCCCCAAAGCCCTGGAATCCACTCCCTGCTCTTCAGACCCCCCCCAGCCCCCCTCCCTGCCCCCGAGCCCTCTGAACCCTTCCCTGACCCCAAAGCCCCCAAACTCCCCTTTCTACTCCCAAACCTCTCCTGAACCCTCTCGATGCCCCCAAAATCACCTCCCAGTCCCCCAAACGAGCCCCTTCTCTGCCTCCCAACCCCTCCCGTGTCCCCTTCCCCAAATATCTCCCCGTGCTCCCCACTCCACTCACCCCCCCTCTTGGCGGGCGGCGCCTCGAGCCCCCTCCCCTCGGGGGGTCCCGTGCGGGGGCCGGGTGGGGGGCGCAGGGGGGGCCCCCCCGGGTCGGGGAGCCCCACGGCGTGGCAGGACAGGGAGCGGGGGGCCATGCCGGGGGCGCAGGGCCGGGGGCCGCGCTCCTGGGGCGCCGGCAGCGTCAGGAACCCCACGCGCAGCGGGCGCCGCAGAGACCCCCCATCCCGAGCCTTGGGGGCCCTGGGGGGAGAAAGGGGGGGTCGTGGGGGTCTCTGGGGATGCCCCAATCCGCCCAAAGAACCCTCTCGACCCCACCCTCGGGGGACACCAGTGGGGTACAGAGGGGAGTCCAACATCCATTGGTGCACTGTTCCCCACCTCAGGGGGTCCTGTGGTCCCGCCAGGAGCCTTCTGGGGTGCAGGGTGGGTCAGGGGTCCCGGGACTCCTCCAGGGATCCCAGGGCAGACTTGAGTGCCCCATCAGGGTGAGGGTGGTCCCTGTGTGGGTCAGGGGGCCCAGTGCCTCCCTAAGGTGCTCCTGATGTCCCCTCAGGGTGGTCCCATGAGGTCCCAGATATTCCCAAAACCCCCCAAAAGGTCTCGAGATGGTCCCACTGTCCCCCCAGTGCGTCCCCACTGTCCCCGGGGGGCCCTGTCCCCTCCCGGGGTGGGCTGGGGGTGGTCCCGCCGTGCCATCAGCGAGGTTCCAGGGTGGCTCAGGGATCCCAGTGTCCCTCCGGGGTGGGTTGGGGGTGGTCCCACTGTCCCACCCGTGTGTCCCCGCGCCCCCTCTGCCGCCGTGTCCCCCCTCACCCCTTCCTGGGCTCCTCGTCGCGGGGTCTCCACTCAGGGCGTCCCTTGCGCTGGAGCAGCCCCGCGGCGGCCGCTGGGGGGCGCTCCTCGCCCAGGCGCAGCAGGGTCACGGCGGCCGCTGGGGGGCGCTCCTCGCCCAGGCGCAGCAGGGCGGCGGCGGCGGCCGCGAGCTCCGACCGCGGGGGGGGCGCTCATGGCTGGGGCGGGGCCAGTCAGAGACACGCCCCCGGAGCGGTGGCCACGCCCACAGCCCAGCCTGGGGTCCCACCCCCCAAACCCAGTGCTGGGGTCCCTCCCGGACCCCCCCAGCCCAGTACCGGGGTCCCTGGACCCCACCCGAACCCAGACCCACCCTAATCCTGGACCCCCGAGGGACCCAGGTACCCCCCCGGCCCGGTCCTGGGGTCCTACCAGGACTCCCGGCGTTCCCAGTGACCTCCCACATCCCAGTCCCGGGGTCTCCCATCCCAGTCCTGGGATCCCATCGCCCCACCCGGACCCCGCCCCATCCCAGTCCTGGACCCCCAAAGGACTCAGTGCCTCCCCACCCCAGTCCTGGGGTCTCCCAACCCCACTCGGACCCCGCCCCAGTCCTTTGGTCCCAGAGCCCCCTCCCCCCATCCCAGTCCAGAGCCCCCGCCATCCCAGCCCTGGGATCCCACAGCCCCACCCGGACCCCCGGGGGTCCCAGTGCCCCCTCCCCCGGGTCCCTCCGTCCCTCCCGACCATTTTGGGGTCCTCCAAACCCCCACCATGCCCAAGGCCGCCCTCCCCACCATGGTCCCTTCCCACCCCTAGGATCCTGGGGTCCCCCATCCCGGTCCTGGACCCCCGGGGGTCCCAGTGCCCTCCTCCATCCCAGTCCCGGGGTCCCCGCTACCCACCCAGGGGGTCCCAGCGCCGCGGTCTCCCCAAAACCCCCAAACCCACCTGAAGTGTGACACCCCCCAAACCCTCCGCTCCCACCGCTGCTGAGGCCGCCCCGAAGCCCCCCCGGGTCGCCCCCGATCCGGGGGTCCCGCCATCGCTCCCCCTCCCCCCGATCCCTCTCCACCGCCCCACCCGCTCCCTCCGCCCTCCCTCCCCCATTACCTGTCTCTGTCTCAGGGGGTCCCAGATTTTGGGGGGGGGGGGGGGGGGTGGGGTATAAACTTCCCCCCCGCGCCCCCCCACCGCCGCCCCCGCGCCCGGGCCGGGCCGGGGGGGGGCGCCCGGGGGGGGCTCACGGGGGGCGTCGGCCCATGGCCATGGATGGGGGGGCTCCGGCGGCCTGTGGGGGAGACGCAGCGGGTGCTCACCGAGCCCAAAACGCCCCAAACCCCCCCGGGACCCCCAAACCCCCCCCCGATCCCCCCCCTCCTCCTCCTCCTCCCTCACCGGCCGCTCCCGCCTCCCGCGCGCGCGGCTGGAGCGCCGCTGACGCAGCGTCCGGGAAGCGGCGCTGCCGCGAGGCCGCCCCCTGGCGGATCGGATGACCCACCACCGGGGAGGCGGTCACGTGACTCAATCGCCGCTTTGGTGGGCGTGGCTTTATTCGGTGGGTGTGACCCAGGAGGCGTGGCTTCCTTGAGGGAGTTGTTTACTGCGGGGCGTGGTTTGTTGGGGGCGTGGCTTACGGAACACTCAGCTCATTGGGCGCGCCTTGTCGAGGGCGTGGCTAATGGGGTGGGCGCGGCTTGCACACGATCCTGATGCGTCACTTCCTGTTTCCACTTCCGGGTTCGGCGGCCGCCGCCGGTAACGGCTCCGGGCCGGGCCCCGCCATGTTCCTCCTCCTCCTCCTCCTCCCGCCGCCGCCGCCCCCATGAGCCGCAAGAAGAGCGGCTTCGCCATCACCAGCGTGCGCGGCGGCAGCGGGGCCGCGCCGGACGATGCCCCCGGGGCTTCTTCCTCATCCTCCACCGGCGGAAGCCCCGGCGGCTCGTCCCGGTTCCGCCTGGTCCGGTTCCTGGCGCCGGGGGAGGTGCTGCGGCGGGGCCGGTGGCTGTGCAGGGATTTCTACGAGCGGGACGCGGCGCCGCGGGGCTCCGGGAGGGTCCCGGTTTCGTTGGACGCCCCCCGGGCCCCCCCCGCCCCCCACCAGCCGCGATCGCTCGGGGCCTTCGCGCAGCTCGTGCAGCAGGTGAGGGGGCGGGGCCCGGGGGGCGGGGCCGGACGCGGACACGCCCACCAGGACCCCCCCCAAAACCCACCCTCACCCCCCCTTTGTTTACAGGCGCTGCCCCCCAAACCCCCCTCGCCGCGGCCCGCGGGGACCGAGCTGAGCGCGCGGCTGGAATTGGCCGGAGAGGAGGGCGAGGAGGAGGGGTGCGTGAGGGGCGGGATTTCCCCCCGCCCCCACCAAAAAGGGGAAGGAAATCGGGGGGTGGGGGAGGGGGGAAATTGGGCCCTTCCCCCACTTGGGGGGGGTGAGGGAGGGGCGATGTCTGTCTGTCTGTCTGTCTGACCCCTCCTCCTTTACACCCCCCCAGCTCCGGCAGCGTCTCTGCCATCGACAACAAGATCGAGAGGGCCATGGTGAGACCCCCGGGATGGGGGGCTTTGGGGTCCCGGATGGGGGGTTTCTGGGGGTCTCTGGGTCCTTGAGGTGGGGGGCTCTGGGTTCCAGCCCTAGGGGCGGGTGGGTCTCTGGTCCCACCTGGGGGGGATCTCTCTGTCCCATCTTTGGGGGTCCCTGTGCTCACTGTGGGGGTCCCTGGGGGTCTCTAAGGGGTCTCTCTGCCCGCAGGACCTGGTGAAGTCGCACCTGCTGCTGGCCGTGCGGGAGGAGGTGGAGGCTCTGCGGGAGCAGATCCGGGAGCTGAGCGAGCGCCGGGCGCAGCTGGAGCGGGAGAACCGCCTGCTCCGCACCCTCGCCACCCCCCAGCAGCTCGCCCTGCTGAGCCCCCCCGGGCCGCCCCCGGGGCCGCCCTGAGCCCGAGGGGGAGTCCCGGGGAGCTTCTCAGGGGGGCGGGCGGGGGGTCCCCGCTCGCCGCTGCTTTATGGGGGGGCGGGGGGTGTAACGCACCTCCCTCCCCCTTTCTTGCGCAATTCGGGGCCTTTTCTAATAAAGCCGGGTTTTTACAGCACGGGGGGGG